AACAAGTTATCGTTCTAACTGCATTTTTCTTGTTGTGCTGCCGCTCCCACTGAGGTGTTGTGAAATTCTGTGCTCTTTGTGGTCGTATCTAGAAGTGTTACTTTCTGGTGATGTTGAAACAAATCCGGGCCCAACCACTCAGGAACTCCTTCAAAAAATTTTAGACAACCAAAATCAAATGGAGGCCAGGCTTGCTAATATTGAGGGCAAAATTCAATCTCTGGCGGACCAGTGTGGGAGGCTCCTTGGCCTCGAATAAACCGTCCGAAACCTAGAGCGAACTATCCAGTACCAACAGCAAAGAATAACTACAATGGAAGATAAAGCCCGACAGAACAATTTGATTGTATTCGGTATTCCGGAAGCTGAGAACGAAACGCGAGAAGATATACAGGATAAGGTGCTAAAAAGCGTATTCACTAAACGTCTTGGTGTCACTGTGTCGTCCGTAGAGCGAATCCATAGACTTGGGCGAAAAAAGGCCGATAAAGACAGACCTATTATCATGAGGCTATATGACTACAACGAAAAAATTGCGATATCCAACCAGTGTAAAAAATTGAAAGGACCAGAGATCAGTATATCCCATGATTACTCGCAGGAAACTCTTGAAAAACAGAGATTACTTTGGCAATCAGCCCAAAAAGACAAGAAAGAGGGAGCGAAAGTCAAGCTTGTTCACGACAAGCTCGATATTAATGGTACAATGTACACGTGGGACAAGCAGTCGAATGCTCGGGCCAGAATTCGCAGTAATAATAGAACTGCTTCGCGGGATCGGGACTGACAGCAGGCGAGCAATGGAATTAAGCTACTAAACATAAACGCCCGAAGTGTCGTAAACAAGCTTGAAGAATTGGAGTGCGTATCGTTACTGCATGATCCACATTTAATTGCCATAACTGAGACATGGTTAAACGAAAACATTACGAATGACGAAGTATTTCCCAGTTCATACAGCGTAATCCGTAAAGGTAGGGCTACGAGAGGGGGTGGTGTGGCATTGCTGATTAAAGGTTCCATCAAGTATGAGCAGTTACCCCTTTTAGATGACCACGAAAGTGTTTGGTGCAAGATATTTCTTGACGAAATAGCTGTAATAATTGGCGTTATTTATAGACCCCCGGAAAGCCCGGTCGAATTCATTCAAAAAATAGATGATCACTTAACAGCCCTAACTAGTACCAAAAGCCGGATAATTATGGTTGGGGATTTCAACTTGGCCGGAATAGATTGGGAGGCGCGCATTCCTGGGCCCTTAGAGAAGCCTCACGCGGAATGCATATTGGAAACTATGGCAACACACAGTCTTATTCAGGTAGTTGACAGCCCCACGCGAATACAAGGACAGTGCCAGATTTGCTGGACCTCGTATTTTTGTCAGAGGAAACGTTTCATTACACAGTCGAAAGTGAGGAAGGGATCTCTGACCATAAGATTGCCGTGGCTACGGTTCAAATTGCGAATAAGGGCGTAGTAAAGAATCCGATCGTGAAGGTTTACAATTTCAAACGCGCTGATGACACATCCATTCTTGATCTACTAGAAACTGCTCTTGATAAGATGCCCAGAGGAAATAACGTTCATGAACTTTGGGAATACTTTACACTTACTGTGAGTGAATGCTTATCTCATTTTGTGCCGAAAAGAAAGAAATGCTTACAAAAAACAAACCCGTGGGTTAATCAACATATAATTCATTTGAAACGACGACTGCGCCGGGCACGACAAAAAAGACCTAGAAACCCCGTTGCCATCGCTACGCTTAGTACAGACGTGCGGAAGGAGTTAAAAACTGCTAAAAAGCATTTTGTTTCAACAACGTTCGCTGATTATTTGAAAAATTCACCTCAGAAGTTCTGGAGATACTTGGTTGGGTCAAAGCCGGCTACAACCAGTGTACTTTTAAATGGAAACATTTGCAGTGATCCAGTTTCAGTTGCTGAAGCTTTTAACAATTTCTTTAACAGTACATATACTAGCCCAACGGACATGGCCTCGATAAGTCAAGAACATGGTAGCCATTGTGAAGATGACATTGTTATCTCTAAGGAAGGTATAATTGAATTGCTTTTAAAATTAGATGTCAAGAAGTCTTCAGGGCCTGATAAAATACCGAACGAGTTTTTAAAGCGCTATTGCGAATGGGTTGCATTACTTTTAGTCAAAATTTTTGCCTCCTCATTATAAACTGGTGTTGTACCGAGTGATTGGCTGCTAGCAAGGGTTGTGCCTGTGCCCAAAGTTGGAGACAAGCTGATGGTTGAAAACTATCGCCCATTTCCATTACATATACAGTGTGTAAACTTTTAGAGCATATAATTGGTAAACATCTTGTTGCGTACTTTGAAAATAACAACCTCTTTTACAACAAACAACATGGTTTTCGCCGACGCCTTTCAACTGTGACACAGTTATTTGAAACCGTTCATCACTTTGCTGCAGCTATGAATTCGAAAGAACAAATAGATGTTATTTCATTAGATTTATCAAAGGCTTTCGACAGGGTATGTCATGCGAAACTTCTAAATAAATTACATGGTTACGGTGTTAATTTACAAATAATTAGGTGGATTCAAGCTTACCTGACGAATCGTCAACATTTTGTGGAAATAGCCGGCGAACATTCATCTTTTTTGCCCATTCCTTCTGGTGTGCCGCAAGGGTCGGTTTTAGGCCCAATTTTGTTTCTGCTGTACATTAATGACATTGCAAGTGGTGTACATCCCAACATTGAAGTGCGATTGTTTGCCGACGATTGTCTTTTGTTTACACGCGTCAAGACTGTCTCTGACCAAACTTGTTAAAATGATGCCTTAAACATTATTCACAATTGGTGTGCAAAATGGGATATGGAAATCAACCCTAAGAAGTCTGCCTGCATGACAGTCTCAAACAAGAAAACGCCTTTAATGTTTGACTATACAGTGAATACTAACCAAATCAAAAGATCCGCCCAAATTAAATATCTTGGTATGACAATTACAGATACACTAAATTGGAATGCACATATTGACAATATCTGCGGGTCAGCGCAGCGGAAACTTGGACTACTGAGACGTAAATTAAGAGGTGCTCCTCCTGAGGTTAAACTTCAGGCGTACAAAGCTATTGTTCGGCCTACCTTAGAATACGCTAGTATGATCTGGGACCCGCATCACCAATATCAAATAGGTAAACTGGAGCGTGTTCAGAGGCTAGCAGCGCGATTTATTTTTTCCGTTTATGAGAGGAGGCAGTCAATAACAACCCTGCTCACTGAGGTTAAACTTCCTCAACTTGCCATTCGCCGAAAAATCACTCGACTAAAGTTTTCATATCAGCTTTACAACAATAAGCTCAATTTAAACCCTTCTCTCTCTATTTGCGTCCCCCAGGAAGAGTCTCATCAAGAACCAATCACCCACACGTAATTATGCCCTACACACCGAAAATTGACACATTTAAAAACACTTTTCTTGTCAGAACGATTGTCGACTGGAACTGTCTTGCGGCCGATTTCTTTGAGAATGTAGACACAGTTGAATCTTTTGTTGGTAAATTAGAATTGTCATTGTATGATGTAGTTCCCACTCTGTAACAGCCCGACAGGGCTTACAGTATTGTGAATAATAAATATTCAGCATCGTCCGGCGCACTTTATTCAAAAACTCCGAAGTCACAAATATCTTCCCACAGCACCTCCTCTTCAGTGTCATCAAGGCATTTGAAATGGAGCATTTCTTGAAGGCACGACGAGCGAGCACCCCAGGAATGCGGACCCAAGCTTCAGCAATCCATGTGCACAGCAATGCCAAGGAGGCTTCTTGCAGCCATCTGGCAGGGGTCACTACCAGCCTCATCTACTCCCTCCCGACCTCCTTCGCTACATATACACGTGCTTCATGTGGTTCTCAAACGGTTTATTTAGGCACACAGAAAGCGGCTGCAACCTGGATGAAAACCCGGGGCAAAGCGAAGCTCGGCACGCGGAAATCGTGCAGCATACATATTGCCGAGCATGCAATAAAAGCAATGGAGCCGCAACAATGCTCCATTGCTTCCACACAAAGTCTGTCAGTAACCGCTTAACATGGAAAAATGCTCCACTTTTTCAGCCGCCAGAAACTTCTCAGACCGCTGCACACTAGGAGGGTTTCCTTCCGTTTGCTTGAACCACAAGTTCTTTGCTCGTCTACACCAAACAGCGACCCCACAGAGCAGTTGCCGATAGTTTTGGCAATTTAGAGCCTCCTGCTTTTGAAGGCAGCCAAATATTACTTTTGCAGCCATCACATAACACACAATCATAGCCATCGTAAAATAGGACCAACACCAGCGTTACTACAGACGTTACCTAATACAGAGGCCTGATGATAGTGCAATGCGGAAACCGAAACTGCGAATTCTCGGCTGAAGATTCTCATGATCTGCATATAGACCGCAGCCCAAACTTCAAATCATAAAAACTATAAAAAACTTCAAACTATACGCAGGTTCTTACAGTATTTTTCCTGACTTTTTTTCAAAACCAGAGTCATGAATTGAAGCCAACAGTAATCGTGGACAACAACTTGTTTTTGCATTGAGGGTAGCACACATGGAGCTGACCAACCATGACCTGTCAATGGCAAGAGTGGTACAAGTTCCAGGGACAAGTACAGAGTTCAAGCCTGAGAGCTGAGACAGTTCAGAAAAAAAGGAACAAAAGTGTAAGCCACTGTGGACATCAACGAATCCGAGGCTGAGGTCGAGGAAGCAGGCAACATCAGATCACTCTCGCAGAGGCCACAGCAGAACTTCAAATCGCTGATCACCCAACACCAAAGGCTTGGCATAGCTGTGTTTACCCTACGAGAAAGTGGATCTCGAAGGTTGTCAATCTGAGCCTCCTCACACACACACACACACAAAAAAAAAACATACGAACCCTACTTACGAAATTCTGTGCCTTCTCAGTTTTTTTAAGCCTGATGACACCAATACCAGAGATTGTGTAAGATAAAAAAAATGCAACGCACTGCCTGTTGGCAGACTTGGGTGGTCGGCCGGGCGGTCTGCCAGGCGGTCTGACGGGTGGTCTGCCGGCTGGTCTGCCAGGCGGCCTGCCAGGTGGTCTGCCAGGTGGTCTGCCAGGTGGTCTGCCAGGTGGTCTGCCAGGCGGCCGTTGTCCGATCCGAGTGGCTGGCTGTGGGGCTTGACGATTTGACAGTCGCTCAGACTTCTTCACGGCAGTAGCAGCAACAGCAGAGGTGGCGTTTGTGGCAGGAGGGGAAGTAGTGCTGACTTCCTGGGAAACTGTACTTTGTTCAGGTGCCTGCAGGTGAATTGAACCACTGATTCAAACATAAAATGCAACAAAATTTCACCATGTTGGCTGGTTACAGATCGTCTAAGATATATTAAATCCTGATATGTCACATTCAGATCTATGTTGAACACATTCAGCAAATTTCTTAAGTTCCATACAAAAGTACAGCAATGTATTAAATGTGTTGAACTCCACTTTAACATATGCGTAAAACATGTGTTGGGCCTTCAGGCGCTTTTGAGCTGCCAACAACCGCTCTTCACTTGAACAACCGTCAACATATCGTAACTGTTTTGTTGGAAATAAAGGTCTGAATGACTGACTGAGTCACTGATTGAAATACAGATTCTGTACATCACACCCTGCATTAGACTTCACTCCTGCCCTGTCATCCATTCACTCAATGACACAACTGGTACTGTGGACAATAGGGGAATTTACTGATACCGCAATCGGAAACAAAGTGATTGATTAACAAAGGTCTCACAGCAGAGATTGCTCAGAAATACACCCTCATGTCAATACAATGCTCTGCACAACACATTGTTCGAGTTAGTTATGCTACTCACACAGGTAAAACATTATGCAAAAAATAGGAGGCCCAAAGGTACATATGCTACTCACGGTACTTTAATCACAACACAAAATGGCCCCAGTCGATGCAACTCTGACTGAAGAATGCGAAAGTTCATAGTAGAGCTGTGGGAATACCCAAACTTTGGGTGCGAAGCAAATTCGAATATGGAAGTTTGAGTGAGTGTGGGTTGAATAAAATATTTTTAAAATATTTCTCAGACATTTCCTAAATTTTACTTTTCAATACTTTGAAATAAAATTTCAGAAAAAAGTTGGAGAGGACTTCTAAGCGTACTTTTATGAGACGGCAACATGAAAGCGCCTGTTTTGGCTAAGTTGGTGAAATGCTGAAGTAGTGTTTCATGGCAGTCTCATCAAGAACTAGGCAATGCAGAAACTTAATTGCATTTAAGTACAAAATTTGGTGCAACCAAAGTGTCCGCAACAACATGTAAAAGGCAATGATGCTATTTCCTCAGCCTCTCCCACTATTTCAACTTACGAGGAAGCCCAACCGACAAGGCACGCAACGGCGTGCTTCCTTCGAGTACGGGGTTCCAAATTTGCCTCATAGGCGTCAACATATAAGAACATCTGCAATGAACACTTTGCAATATATTGAGTGCCCCCTTGCATACACTTCAAAAACACCTGTAAAATGGCTTTCCCACAGCGAAATTTTCAACCAGAAGCTTTGTTTCCTGACTACTTTTCCAGCTCTGAGGACGTTCACTTCTCCACATTCAAGTGAAGGTGCAGAAGCACCACAAAGACTTTTCAAAGCACTTTGCAAGAATGTCACGCCTTATTGTATGTTCCCTGTGTGCAACAAGACAAGGAGAAAACGAAATAAAGGAAAAGCAGGGGTATATGGTGAATGGAAAAAGTAGTTTGCAGACTAGCCTGTCGTTGAGGCAACCTGGTTGAAAACAAACCTGCTCGCGCATGCGCAGTAACTATTTTGCAGACTGTCCATTCCAGATACTAAAAAATTTTTGGCATCCAATTTTTCAGACTTTCTGCCCAAATTTCAGGTTCAGAATAGCATCGATTCAGCTCCGCCCTCTGCCGCTTCTATCATCTCCATGTTGTAGTTAGCGTTTTCAGGAGTCATTACATTTGCGACTGTTACAGAGCCTGAAAGGCAGTTTTGCCGCGATAAGAGAGTGTAATGGGGTGAAGCATATTAATGATTTGAAGGGGCTGCTGTTAATTGAGTACTGATTGTATTTGTCATCGGGAAGTTCGAATACTTCGACTAGTAGAACTCCGGTGCGAATTTAATCGAATAGTGTTTTGAATGCTGAAATATCCATACACCCCTAGTTCATAGCTTGAACGCTAATAACTAAAGTACCAGCTGTTAACGCTGCCAAACCAGAGCATCACCGCCATACACTCATGCACGTGTCTTGTCGAATTCTCTGCCTCATATACCACAACTAAACAACCTAAACAGCTGAACTAAGGTTTCACATTAAGTGGTACAGGAATTATCAATCAACCTTATAAGTGACCACACATCTCAACCACAGAGAGACAGTTTGTGCAGTTTTCATGTATGCATGAGCTGTGAAAGGAAAGCTTAGATGCACAGTGTACAGACGCAACACTCAGCTTCATTGGTGCAAAACTGTTTTGAACAAAAGTGGAGCAGCGCAAGTCATGGAATTCCGTGACAGTACAAAAAATAATTTCTCAAGAGAGGTAATGACCTGGTTGATGGGTGCCTTGTCAACACACTATCAATTGCAAATTTAGCCAAAGGGGAAACAGGCACAGGGGTGCAACAGTGTACAGGGCCGTCCACATTTAGTACGAACACCGCGCCGCGTGGCTGTGCTCTGCGGGGCACCAGTGCACTAGGCCGCGCGTCGAAGGTTATCGACACAGGCACACAAGAGCATGGAGGCGGGGCTTCGTTTAGATGAAAAGCGCGGGAGCGCACCGTGCCTGTTTGCCGTGAAGCAAACTTAAAGCACCTAAGAAACCACGAACGTTCCAGGAACGCGGTGTTGTGTAGTTACGGTATTTGAGACGTGGGTGATTCCTGTTGTTTCAGTACCAGAATACTGGTTTAATGTATACATTGTAGCAAACTCTACAGTATTAATCCTGTTTGGTTTGTAGTGCTTTAGTCCGTGAAAGAATTTCGCCAGAGCGGTGCTCTGAGAAATTTCTACTACCAAAAATATTTACTGTGGCCTGAAATTACGTGCGCGTGTTTCTGCTTTTCTGCCGCATTTAAACACGGCACATGCTGCCGCTATCAAGCTTGTAGTTCTTGACTAATTTTAGCTGAGATTTCGATGACTAAGGCTTCACAGCAGGGCATGCTAACGGCTCTACACTCTATGCAAGTATCGAGATTCATAAATCTAAAACATTTGTTTTTGCATGCTTTTTCTGAAGCATTGGAATGCTCTACAGTTCAGCGTGTGTAAAGAAGTTTGCAGGCAGTAGGATACCAAGTTGTGTGCTGCGTTTCCCAAAGTTAGCAACTATCAGTAACGGGTAGGTTCCCCTCCAGCTCCAATAACCGCATTTATTCCATTAAGGAAGCTGCTGTATATGAACCGACAAAGGTTGGTGTTGGCCCTGATTTGCTCCCACTACTCTTGGACAATGGCCCAAAGAGCGTCCACTGAGACAGCACGGAGTTGTCGGTGGGCCTGCGAAGCTACATGTTCCCGTACACATCTTCAATGATGCTTAAGTCAGGAAGCTGTGGAGGCCTTTCAAGAATTGCCACGTTGCGAATCTCTAAATACGGAGCAACGTTTTTTTATTTATGTATGTGGAGCTATCATGCTGCAGAATGAAATCATTCTCTGGGAATGGTCTCCCAACGAGATATGGGAGCAGCACGCCGTCTAAAGTCCACACTAGGCGTCTGCTGTGAAACGACTTTCAATTCTGACAAGGGGTCCCAGTCTTTAAGCGGTAACGGCATGATGTTAGGCCAGCCAGTCAAAATACTCTCAGTAAAACAATGTCTTGTGACTTCCGTATAGAGCTTCTTGATCAGACAGACGGAGCAGATAGCTTGAGAATCCTGTGCAACCCTGTATCCTTATCACCAGGAGATGAGATTGTGTGATACCCATTCTACATGAACCGCAATAAACCCGCTCAGGGAGATTATGGATGGCGAGAGTGACGGCCCAGTGAAACTTTCTGGCCAAGCTTTTTTTTTTGCGCACGTACGCAAAAAAAAAAAACTGATCCAGACACTGCAGATGCTAGCGCCGTCTTGTCAATTTCCCTTTTTGTGTTACATTGTGTGACTTAGGTTGTGGTAGACGGACAGCTACTTCAGCAGGGGCCCCCAGAAATATTGTAGGATATGGTCCAAAAATATGCTGAGGTTAAACTTATGGAGAAATCTCGTAAGACAGTCCCCAAAAAAGACCCCATATATACATGCGCTTTCTGTGCCATGTATGCCTTGTCGGCTGAGTGTACGGAAGAATGAAATTAAATCAGAAGTATAGGATACTTAAGTACGAAGGAGGAGGTGAAGAACGTCAACGCACTGACATAGTACTTGGAATTTTATCACAAATTGAGAACTTATTATTTGTTGCATCGCTTGCGTTTGGCTAGGAGGTAGTAAGGAGAAGACTGTGAAAGATGTGAACCTCAAAAAAAAAAAGGAGAAGCTGTTTTCCCAACGGTGACCACAGCATCATTACGCGAGCAGGTATATTGCTATACATCATGTGTTTAAGCAGAAGGAAGGACACGTACAAGGTTGTGAAAAAGAGTGGGGCCCCTGTTTTCCAATAAAAGGCTAGACGGGTGGAGAATACGAAGCTATTCGTATAACAAGATAGCAGAAAGAAGAGATTCAATGCAGGTCTGCGGAGAGTAGGGCGATTGTGCCCGAATGCTACTATAAACGCCCCCATGTAACGTGATATTCATACTTTTCAAAAAAAGAAAAATGACCTCGTCGCGGGATGGCTATGCAGTTGGTGTTGCTATATTTCTTGGACAGAAAATGAAACAGTGCCCGCACACACGTAATTTTAGGTCACAGTAAATATTTCGCAGTAGTAGAAACTTCCCAGACCACCGCTCAGCGGTGAAATTTTTCACAGATTAAAATGCCACAAACCAAACAAGACCAATGCTCTAGAGTTTACAACAATGTATAAATTAAACCGATATTCTGGTATTGAAACAAGAGGGGTCACCCACGTCAAAAATACCGTAACTATTCAACACGTTGCACTGAGCTAAGCCCGCTTTCCTGCAATGTTCATGGTTTCTTCACGGCACGCTCCCGCGCTTTAATCGAAACAAAGCCCCGCCTCCTCGCTCTTGTGCGCCTGTGTCGATAAGCTTCGACATGCGGCTGCACCGCTAGCCCTGGCGCGGTGTTTGTACTAAGAGTGGACAACCCTGTACATGGGCTCGGGAGCAGA